GCATCTTACTCATAACCCCATACATTTATGGACATGATATATAATTGACTAGGAAGATTGGAAAATAGTCTCATTGGGAGATTTGGTTTCGCTTACGAATGTCTACTTGTACAGATACTTGAATTGAGTTTATATGTTGTTGAGATGTTGAGTGTTTCCGCGTGCGTGTATTGAAATAAGGACAAACACATACGTAGGGAAAAATACTGGTATATCTGAAGAGGTATTTACAACAGAGAGATTAGTAGTCAAACGAACTCAGTAACAATCAGAAAGAGTATAAAGTCCAACTGTATCTTCCGGTAGAGAGACGGAAGTGTGATGGTCACCTGATCTCCCAGAACTCTATAGAGAGATCAGTCCATTCTGATGAGAAGGTGGGTGCGCCCCAACATATGTTAATGTAGTCGCAAGATAGAGTTGTATAATAGAGAACGCACTTATAATTGTGCATTTTATTCATAACTCTTTTCATTTATGGACATTACATATAATTGTCTTGGTAGATTAGAACATATTCTCATTGGGACATTTAGATTTCCATTAAGAATGTCTGCATCGACTGATACATAAGTTAATATAGGGAATGAAATCGAATGGTAAGGGAGTATTCTAGGGACCGCACCTTTTCATCTGAGTAATAACTCCATGCACTTATGGACATAACATATAATTGTATTGGAAGATTGGAATATATTCTCATTAGGAAATTTGATTCCATTCGGAATGTCTGACTCTACAGATACATGACTTGAGTTAATATGGGAATGTAGTCGCACGGTAGAGTAGTATAATAGGGACCGCGCCTTTTATTTTGCATCTTACGCCTAATTCTATGCATTTATGGACATGTCATATAATTGTCTTGGAAGATTGGAAAATATTCTCATTGGGATATTCAGATTTCCATTAGGATTGTCTGATTCTATAGATACATGAGTTAAGTTAATATGTGAATGTAGTCGCATGGAGGAATATACAAAGGACCGGACTTTTTATTTTGAGTCTTACTCAGAACCATATGCATTTATAGACATGACATAATTGTCTTGGAAGATTGGAAATATTTTCATTGCGAGATATGGTTTCCATTACAAATGTCTGCCTCAAAAGAAATGAGTTAATATGTGAATGTGGGAGCATAATAGGGACCACACTTTTTATTGGTAACACTCATAACTCATAACATGGCATATAATTGTCTTGGAAGATTGGAAAATATTCTCATTGGGTGATTTCGTTTCCATTAGGAATGTCTGACTCTACAGATTCATGACTTGTGTTAATATGTGAATGTATTCAAACGATAGAGGATTATATTAGGGACCGAAACTTTTTTATTTTACATCTTCCTCATAACACTAGGCATTTATGGATATGACATATAACTGTCTTGGAAATTGGAACATATTCTCATTAGGAGATTTTATTCCATTTAGGAATGTCTGACTCTACAGGTATATGACATAAGTTATTATGTGTAAGCGATCTGGGATTGCAAAAGTAATATTTGTTGCAAGTTGCTTCCACAACGCAGAGAATAAATCACTAAGTTCAGAATGGAACATCGGGGGCAGAAAGAAATGCCGAAAACTCGATTCGCAGGTTCTATTTCACAAATCACAATGCACGTAACCAGTCAGAAAAATAACTCACTCACCGCCGAACGCGGCAGCCAAAATACACCAATTGCATTTTTCTCCCACGACTCGCGAACACTAGCTGCTTTTATCGGCCGAGCATTTTTTTTCCCATTCGTCGACAACTAGGAGAGGACGCCCAATTTTTGCATATCAAAATACATTTATAGAGACTCCTGCGACGGACTTGTTTTTAATTTAAATATTCCGTCTTCACAATGACATGCGGAATACGTGCCCTTTTTGGTAAATAATTTTCTTTTTCACCACATTTTCTATCGTAGGATACACGCGACGCGCTGTCGCTTGGTTTGACGATGTAAGTCGCCGTTATCTTCGCTATACTCCCCCCTGATCTCACTATCACAAATCGAACAGCTTGGAGCAGCTCCCTTTATCTTGGTGCTTCATCGTAATGGAACTATCACCCTTACACGTGTCGGAGAGTCGTCTCCTGAGGATTCATCAGACGTATCCCGAGTTTCCGGAATCTGTGTCTGTGGAAGCATCGGATTTACAAATCTCAATTATCCGATCACTGTCAGACGATGAACCCTATCCAGATTCGCTCAGCGATGTATCAGAATCAACAAAAAGGCGAAGATCTTTTACATGCCATGGTATCCCGTCAACTATTATTGTTTGTGGACTTACAATGACCGTCATGCGACCCACTTGATACCTGGAGGTACACCGGCCATGTGGAGTTTTAACCCATACTCTGTTCCCAACTTTGTATATACCGTGATACCTACAACGATAAGGTGGTAATGTTGTAGTAATTCCCTTTACTTTCAGTTGAAAATCATGAATGGCAAATCATTGAAGGTGAATCATATTGGCAGGCAATATATCGAAGATATATCATCCTTCGGCGTGATATTATGCTAGTATACTGCCTCCATTATTGTACACGGTTTTCTTGCTGCAATTCTCTTTATGCTCCGATGAAATCTTTCCTCTATACCGTTTCCTGCAGGAACATAGGCGCAGCGATAACGAAGTCATCCAAGAAATCTTTAAAGGACTAACTCCTAAATGCAGTGTCATTGTCGGTCAGGATTTCTTATGGTGGGCATCGTTAAAAAAATACTGTCGAATGATGCTTCTTCAATCTGGCTGAAGCAGGCGTCGCCATATCGCAAATTGACTGGGACCGCAATCAATTAACGTAGTGTTGCCCACCGTAATGCGTAATATACATTCCCAAGCGGGTCCAGATATCAATCACATTTAGGTTCCCACGAGGCCAACGACCTGAGGTAGGGTCAGTTCTGGCATTATTTATATTTTCTAACCACTGCCTTGACGACCGCCTTGGATGTTGTAGGGTAAAGTCGTCTCACAAAATACAGCGTTCGCCTGACTCTGGTAGTGTACGGCATGTATCTGATCAGGAGAGGTTTCGTTCACCATGGAATCGCATATCGGGCGTGTTGGTTCGGTTTCCTTCTTTATCATCTCATACCATCTTTGCGGTACTCTGATGAGTTTATCCGCTCGATTCTCACTCGACATTACTAAACTTATTCTGATCAATAAGTTATACTCTTGAATCAGCTTTTCAAGAGTAATCAAATGCCTCCGGATCAGCATCTCACTGACCACCTTAGTTCGTATTCTGGCTTTGCACCGGGGCACTCACGCAGAGTCCGTGAAGAGGTGTAGCTCCGTTGCGCCCCACTGTAGTGCTAAATTAACACCCTTCAGAATAGCACTCAATTCTGATAAATTGATATGTTGGGCATCCTTTGAAGGCCGCAGCCAACATGCGTCTTCTACAACGCTTCCGTCAACCTCCAACGAAACTCCTGTGGCGAGAGAACTTGCATCTACCCATACCTCATAAGCGTGTCCGCTTGTGCACCACTTACCGTGTGCAGGATCATTCTGGCGTATTCTTTCCGCTATGTCCTCAGTCATGTTTTTAAGAGGAGCATCTGTCACTTCGTCGTCTCAGACAGACGTGATCGATACTGTCCTGCGTTTTACAAATGATTTAGCAACACGAAGCCACCCACACACAGGAACGTCACCCATCAGTTTTCCACACCTGGAGAAGACGTTACGTCGCATCAGCACCCCAGGAGCTGCTCGAATGCCATTTTCACGTTTCAGGCGTGTTGTTATCTTGCTCGACATGCAAACCCAGCACACGTGTGCCGTTCCGTACCGCTCCGGATCCTTACAGGTCAAGCCAAACGCAGCCAAGTGCTCCTTCACGCGAGCTGCTGAAATCAGGCTCTCGTCAACATAAATATCATCAATATATATGATGAAGTTGCCCGTCGAACTGACTCGTCTTTCGACAACGCGGTGGACACAATAGCCTTTATTATGGCTGGTGCACTTTCAACCCGAAACCCATCCGGGTCAAGCAATATCTTCGCCCCTTGAAGATTACAGTTTGAAAGGGCCAAAGTGATTTATATTTTTACGCCACTCCCTCAGTCACGGTCACGGTCGTATTCCTCCTTTGACTCCCGTTAATATTGGTTACTCGGGCATTCGATTTCGTAAACTCTCCGGTGATCAACCATCGCCTTCCATCATGTGTTTTGGGTCGAATTCGGCACAGAAATCAAGTTCTTCTATCTCAATAGTGGCGCAACAGACTATCCCACGCTTGGGAAACCGTACAACGCCACACTCTGCTATTTTGAGTTCGCCCAACTTTTTAATGGCGTCAAACACAAGCAACAAGTCAAAAAGCAATAGCTCTTCATCCTCTACCAATACTTCGATTTTGTGTGTGTGTGGGAGGGTTGCATTGTCCATGCCAAGCTTAATACTTCTAACTCCGCAACATTTGAGAGTATATGTGTTTACGATGAGTACGTTCATCTGCGTCATCCGCCAGGATTAACAGGCTGACTTACTCACGAGTGTCTGTGAGCAGCCAGTGTCCACCAGTGCCACTCTCTTAATTCCGTTCACGGAAATACCCAAGACAGGTAGCGCTTCATTCATAACTCGCTTAGGGAAGAGACCGGCGCTGACGTCTTGTCCCCTTCCTCTTTTCCCCGGACACAATGAAGAAATGTGGCCTACTTCTTGACACCGGAAGCAACGCATTGTTATGCGTGACCGTCGTGGCTGATGGGCATCCTCTCATCGAACCGGGCTTTAGGAATGTCTCCTCTACAGATACATGGATTGAGATAAATTGTGAACGTAGACACACGGTAGGAAAGCAAAGGAAGGAACGAAGGGAGGAACGAACGACCGAAAGCATAAAAAGAAAGAAAATAAAGAAGGAAAGAATGCATGAAAAATGGAAGAAAAATGAATGACCTGAAGAAAAACAAAAGACTGAAATGAAAAAATAATGAAAGAAAGAAATAATAACGAAAGGAAGAATTAAAGACTGAAAGAAAGAAAGACTGAATGAAAGAAAGAAAGACTGAAAGAAAGAAAAATGGAAGTAAGAATGAAAGAAAGAACGAAAGAAAGAAAGAAAGAATGTAAGATATAAAAACGAAAGAAAGAAGGAAAGAATGAAAGAAAGAAAGAAAGAAAGAAAGAAAGAAAGAAAGAAAGAAGGAAAGAAAGAACAAAGAGAGAACAAAAAACTGAAAGATATAAGAAAGAATCAAAGATTAAATGAAATAAAGAAATAAAGAAAGAAAGAAAGAAAAAAGAAAGAAAGAAAGAAAGAAAGAAAGAAAGAAAGAAAGAAAGAAAGAAAGAAAAAAAAAATGAGAGAAAATAGAAAAAAAATGGATGAAAATAATGGGTTTAAAAAAATGAAGGTATATTAAATACAATTCTGTGTTTCTGTTTTAATAAAACAAAATCCGGAAATAAAATATTTCATGGAAAAATAGGAAAAATGGAACATCATGAAAGAAAGAACTAAAGAAATGAAGTTTGAAAGACGAAGAACAGAACCAAAAATCATAGAAAACAATTAAATGCAATCAAATTTTTAAAATTAAAACGAACTAAATGTTAGTAAAACTAGTTTAAAGGATATAAAACTTAAAATAAAATACAAGCAGCAAAATAATATAAAATCAACGAACATGAAAGAAAGAAAGAAAGAAAGAAAGGAAAGAAGGAAGAAGGAAATCATAAAAAGAAAGAAAGAAAGAAAGGAAGAAAAGCATAAAAGAAAAAAAGGAAGGAAGGAAGGAAAGCAAAGGAATGAAAGAACGAACGAACGAATAAACGAACGAAAGCATAGAAAGAAAGAAAGAAAGAAACAAACAAACAAACAAACAAACAAACAAACAAAAGAAAAGAAAAGTATAAAAAGAAAGATAAGGAAAGAATAGAAAGAAAGAAATGGAAAGTGTAGAAAGAAAAAGAAAGAAAGAAAGAAAGAAAGAAAGAATAAAAAAGAAAGAAAGAAAGAAAGAAAGAAAGGAAGGAAGGAAGGAAGGAAAGCATAAAAAGAAAGAAAGAAAGAAAGAAAGAAAGAAAGAAAGAAAGAAAGAAAGAAAGGATTAAAAGCATAAAAGGAAAAAAAGGAAGGAAGGAAAGAAGGAAAGAAGGAAGGAAAGCAAAGGAAGGAAGGAACGAACGAACGACCGAATAAACGAACGAAAGCATAAAAAGAAAGAAAGAAAGAAAGAAAGGTGGTTAAAAGCAGGAAGAAATAAGAAAGGATGGAAGAAAAAAAATTTTAAAAATATAAAAAATATCGTTTTAGATGATTTAGAACAAACTACAAATACAAAAACGCGATCAAAGAAGAAAAAATGTAAGATGTAAGAATTCAAAAAAATGTAAGAAATGAAAAATTTTAAAAGAAATCACGTGACATTATCAGCTACAGTTAAATATAAGAACAATATATATTTATCCAGGGGCTCGTTTCGCAAAACACTTTTCCAACGCACACCTGGTATCAATTTTTCATGTGTGAAACAGCGCCAATCATTGCGAAAGTTGGCCCTGATATTTCAGCTAAAGGTAAAAACCAAATGAAACGAATCTACCATTGATATGCATCAATTTGGTATAAAAAATTCTTTCTGTGTATTGTTTACTAGTATTTTTTTACCCTCAGAATCTTAGATACAAAAGTCCGATTTCTCGAATTCAAGAGGAACAAACAATTCTATACCGTCAATTTAAGTAAAAATAAAAAAAATAGCCTTTCATTATATATTTAGCTCCAAGACAAAACATAGCAGTGAAAAATCGATATCTGTCTATATCTCTGTATATGATGAAGATTACTTACATTATTTACATTATCCGGACTGTTATCCTAATCTTCGTTGCCATATTCACAACGTTTCGACCGTTGTACGCTCTAGCCTTCTTTAAGTGATTGGAATTTCGAACCGAACCCTTTATTTCATCCACCGGGGTAGATTGTTCTAGTTCCACGTGTCATGCCTCTTCCGAATTTCTCAGTTATTTTCTTTTAATCCAACTCCCCAATTTTTTGTTTCCCATCTAACAACTGTAGTTTAAAAGCGGTAATTCGACCTCACTAACCAGACGCTTCATCTGTAGCTAAATGGTGTAACACTTCAGGCTATATGGCGTTTCCGTGTAGGATACATGTTCGATTCCTGTCGGAGGACACATATTTTCTATGACAATTTCTCGGGCATTCAGGCCGGTAAAAGTTGTTAATACTGTTTATTATAAACAGAGCATTTACTTAAATATTTGTATCTATAAATATAACGAATAAACAATATATAGGGTGACCCCAAAAAAACGGGAATTTTTGAAGTGTGTATTGCCAGATATGAGCAAGTGGCAACACTGCGAGACAGTGACCTTGAGCAAGTAAACATTTCGCCATTTAGAATTCAAGATGAAATTCACACAGTATCCCAGCTGAGATGTTGCAGCAGTCAATGAGGAATCTCAACAGCAGATTTCAAGAATGCATTCGTACAGGAGGACGCCATCTACAGGACGTAATTTTAAAAAAAATGAAAATTCCATCATTGTTTCTTAAATGGCATGTTTTAAGGTTTCAATTACTATGAATAAAATATTTTTCTTCCATCACTCTTGGTTGTATTGGATTGTTAAAAAGTTCCCGGTTTTGGGTCACCCTGTATATATATATATATATATATATATATATATATATATATATAGAGAGAGAGAGAGAGAGAGAGAGAGAAAGAGAAGGATAACAAACCTGCATCGCTACTTTGTTTTTTGTTTTTTTTTAAGCGTTTCACCTCAAGCAAGGCGAGGAGACACTAGTACGCAAGGGGTTACAGAAAAATTTGAGCAAGATCAGATAGGAGTGATAGAGGAAAGGATGACGAGAAGTATAGTGGATAGATCAAGGCAACTGGAGATGTCGATTGACATTACATTTGAATAGCTGGGGATTATAGCTCTCAGGGAAACTGGAATAGGGAAAAGAGTTCCACAGGCGAGAGGTGCGAGACATGAAGCTATTGGAGTAGAAGAGACGGCTACATTTAGGAGTTTCGACAGTGAAAGGATGAGAGCGGGATGCCAGCCTCGTAGGGCGCTTGAACTCATGAAGTCTGGGAACCAGCGAATGCAGCTCCTCGGAGCAATTTCCATGAAAGTATTTGTAAAACAGAGAGAGAGAGGCGACGGCGCATCTGTGAGAGAGCGACTGTAGACGAGATGCCAGAGCACTTATACCATAAGGGAAAAAACTTTTGCAGATAAAGTGTGCTTTTACCATCTCGGCCACGGAAACCAGACTATCAGGGCAAGGTTGGTATTAACTGTTAACGAAATTATATTTTCTTGTTGGGATTTCTACAAATCTATATATGTTAGTTTCAGTATCGACTCACGAAACGTAAACTAGCATGCCTTAATATATGAACGCCAAAAGATTTTCAAGATCATATATATATATATATATATATATATATATATATATATATATATATATATATATATATATATGCGTGTGTGTGTTCGCGCGCGATGTTTTAAATAATGTATATACATGTGTGCGTGAAGGATTAACAGATCGTAGATTTCCCTGCCCGTGTCCCTAGCAAATCCGAAGAACAGGCCTCATTACTGACCTCCACACCTCGCTCTTGCCATGCTTCGAAACAGAGTAGTGTCCTCTTGAAAACACGGATGCCTCTGTAGTATCCATGGATATTTCGTTTCAATTCTTTATTAAACAGGAAACTCCTATTCATGAGATCTCTTTCCGTTACGAGAATGGGACTCACACCGAGATTTTTTTTTCTGGAAATCACCCCTCACCCACCGGGACTGACATTATTAACCTTCAAATTTAGAATTGCGCCACTGAGCTTTCAAAGCCGGTATAGATGTTTTCATTCATTCTCGGAGATGTCAAAGAAATCTTGGTTATTCACACCAGCATGTTTTGCCGCTATAGCCCACAGGAACCACTGTTTTTCGGCTATACCAGTGCGACAGATCTCCCACAAAAAGACTCCTATTCGTTCCTAATGAATGTAAACGAGTCCTCGTAAGAAGCTAAGTCTCTATTTGCTGATATAATGAGGAACCGTATTGTATCTAAAAAGATTGATTACTGGCGGCTGTTTAATAATGTGCTAAATAAATATAAGTTCTCTATTCCTCTTCTCTTCAATCAATTTTAGTTGTTATCTTTTGCTGATACAGCTGAACGCTTCACCCCTAAATTCTCCTCAAACTCTACTTTTGATTCAACTGGAATAACTCCCCACCTAGAACTGAATCTCTGTTGAGCGATATGCATGTAACTCCTTCTATAATTTCTACTATCATCTTTAATCTGGCTCCCCACAAACCACGTGGAGCTGATACTACCTCAGTGATAGTCATTAAGAATTATGCTCCCAAATTGGCTCCTGTTTTCTCTAAAATGAAAAATAAGTGCCTTGCCGCTTTTTGCTTTCATGCTTCCTGGAAGTCCTTATCCGTTGTCCTAAATTTTAAGAACTCCGGTGAACCGATCAACCCTTCCAACTATCGACCTCTTAGCTTTCGACCTCTTTTGGGGAAACTCTTAGAGGTCCTAATCAATTCAGAATTGGTTAATCACCACAGGTCGAAGGACCTTTTCTCAGACAAGGAATATGGCTTTCGATTCTCCAGGTCATCTGCTGATGTACTAACAATAATTGTGGAAAGAGTCTATCAACCTCTAGATAAGAATGGTGAAGCCCGGGCCATAGCTATGGACATTTCGAAAGCTTTCCACAGAGTTTGGCATACAGGGCTTCTCCATAACCTGAAAAGTTACGGTGTCCACGGACAAGTCTTTGAACTAACCCATTCTTTCCTATCAAATCGGGAAATGAAAGTAATCCTGAACGGCCATTCTTCTAGATCATCTTGTATTAATGCAGGTATCCCCCAGGGCTACACCCTGGGTCCTATTTTGTTTTTAATTTTCATTAATGATCTTTCCGATGGCATCAGCTCTCAACTTGGTATCTATGCTGATGGCACAAATATTTAACCTTGTCTTGGTAGTAAGTTTGATCAGATCAAAATGGTAGCTGACATCCCAAAATATCTTAAGTCTGTTGTTAACTGGGGAAAAGAATGGCTTGTTAATTTTAAGGCTTCCAATACAATTTCCTATCTTTTTGTTATCAATTCTAAACCCTGTTCCGCCATCCATTTACTCTAGCTCATTAAGTAGGGTATGCGTTGTTTTCTTCTGCCCCTCTTTTCTTAAATCTGTCTTGTGAGTATCAAATTTTCCAAGCCCTCTTACATACCCTAGTATCTGCTTTTTTTCCCAATTTTTCCTCGGATGCCAATTTGTTTCAAAATTGTGCTACCACCCAACGTGTTTAAATTTACATTATATATATATTTGAATTCTAATTTATTATTTTTAATGTATATCGTAAACCCACATGTAAAAACGACTATTTACACTTTTACTCTCACCATGATACTAACACTAAGAGGGGTATTATTATTGGATTCTGCTTGAGGGCTCTTCGCATCTGTTCAGCAAAATATTTAGATGATGAATTCAGTTATATTGAGGATACCTTTTCAAATCTTTCGTATCCGAGACAATTATTACTGAGAGCTAAAAATAAAGCTTTGAAAATTCATAAAATTCATTCATCAGCGCAAAATGACACCTCGAAGACCACTACTACAACTACATCAGTGAAAGGCACACTTTCAGCTGCCCCTGATAATTCTTTTGGTCGCATCTTTCTACCAAATAACCATTTGACCGAACGTATCTCCAATAATTTAAAAATTAAAACTACAATATTACCTACTAGAACACCAGCAACCAACATATTACATCCAATGCTTGCATCTACCAAATCTCATGCAACAACTGTGACTTAAAATATGTGGGTGAAACATGTAGGTCCGTAAAATCTCGTGTTTTCGAACATAAACGAGATATTCGCCTCGGTAATTTAAACAATGCTTTATTTGTACACATAACTAAATCTGATCATAATTTCGATTTTGATTCTGTGCTGATTTTAATATATATTCATAATAAAAATCTTAGACGGATTTATGAAGCAGGCATAATATCTATCACACGCACGGTGAATACTAGACCCGGCTTCTTTAATATTTCCCCTTTTCTAGCAAGATTAATGCTCGACAAACGTACTTTAATTCTT